GGTGATTGGTGCAGTGAGGGAAATATGGATATGTTGTATACATATTTTCGGGTTTCAGGCTTCGGGTTTCGGGCTTCAGACTTCAGGCTTCGGGCCTCGGCACTCGGCACTCAGCACTTGGTGATGGGTGTACTGGGTGTCGAGTTTCGGGTTTTGGTACTCGACACTCTGTGATTTGTGCAATGAGTGAAATATGGATATGTTGTACACATATTTTTGGGTTTCAGGCTTTGGGTTTCGGGCTTCAGACATTGGGCTTTGGGCCTCGGCACTCGGCACTTGGTGATTTTTGTACCATGCTTTGAGTTTCGGGTTTTGGCACTCAACACTTGATGATTTGTCCAATGGGTGAAATATTGATATGTTGTATACATATTTTCGGGTTTCGGGCTTCAGACATCGGGCTTCAGGCCTCAGCACTTGGCACTCGGCACTTGGTGATTTGTGTACTGGGTGTCGAGTTTTGGGTTTCAGTACTTGACACTTGGTGATTGGTGCAGTGAGGGAAATATGGATATGTTATATACATATTTTTGGGTTTCAGGCTTTGGGTTTCGGGCTTCGGACATCGGGGTTCGGGCCTTGGCACTCGGCACTTGGCACTTGGTGATTTTTGTACCATGCTTTGAGTTTCAGGTTTTGGCACTCGGCACTCGGTGATTTGTGCAGTGAGGGAAATATGGATATGTTATATACATATTTTCAGGTGTCATGCTTCGGGTTTCGGGATTCGGACATCGGGGTTCAGGCCTTGGCACTTGGCACTTGGCACTTGGTGATTTTTGTACCATGCTTTGAGTTTCGGGTTTTGGCACTCGACACTTGGTGATTTGTGCAGTGAGGGAAATATGGATATGTTATATACATATTTTCAGGTGTCAAGTTTCAGGTTTCAGTACTCGACACTCGGTGATTTGTGCAATGAGTAAAATATTGATATGTTGTATACATATTTCCGGGTTTCAGGCTTCAGGTTTCGGGCTTTGGACATTGGGGGCACCGGCCTCGGCACTCGGCACTTGGTGATTTGTGTACCAGGTGTCAAGTTTTGGGTTTCGGTACTTGACACCCGGTGATTTGTGCAGTGAGGGAAATATGGATATGTTGTATATACATATTTTCGGGGTTTGGGGTTTGGGGTTTGGGCCTCGGCCCTCGGCATTCAATGATTTGTTTAATGTAAATGAAAAATGGGCATGTTGCATACCGGGTTTCAAGTTTTGGGTTTTGGCACTCGACACTCGGTGATTTGTGCAATGACTGAAAAATGGATATGTTATATACATGTTTTCAAGTTTCAGACTTTGGGGTTCGGCCCTCGGCACTCGGTACTTGGTGATTTGTGCAATGAATGAAAAATGGACATTTTGCATACATGTTTTTGGGTTCTGGGCTTCGGATTTTGGATCTCAGGCTTCGGGTCTATCAGGACTCAGCACTCGGTGATTTGATAACTGGACTTTTAAGCTTCAGGCTTTGGGTGTTCAGGTGTTCATGTGTTTGGTGTAAGGAAATAGAAATTTCACACATTTTCACCAGTTTCCAGTTTCCAGTCTCGAGCTTGGGGTGTTCGGGTGTCCGGAATGGATGTTGCACAATGGGATTCGGTTTTTGGGCATCTGGGACTCGGTAATCAGTGAATGTCAGACAGATGTCTCACTACCTCGGCCCACCCGTCTATATAACATCCCCCTCCATCGGCCCACCTGTCTATATAATGAATATTCCACCACTCCCTTGGCCCACCCATGTACAAAATACTTCCTGTACGTCGGCCCACCCATCTATACAATAAACCATTACATCAGCCCACCCGACATCTTCGAGGATATATATAATATCAGCATAGATGGGCCCACCTGTCTCCATCGGAAATAATATCCCTCCCGGCCCATCCATCAACATCGGGGATATACATAACATCGGCCCATAGTCCGCTGGCCCGTCTTATACAGGATATTATGTAGGTTGGGTGACCCATATAATACAGAATTTTTCACTGAAGGGGCTCGCTACAAGCCTACATATGACCGGATGAGATCAGCTTTTTTTATCTCAGCCGGTATGACACTACCTGATATTGGAACATCAAATATTAATATATAAATATGTCAATCAAATCTTGACTGATTGACAATGTAAGACAACCGGTGGAATCCCATGATCCGGTGCTACAGGTCTGCCTATGACCGGATCAGGTCGGCTTTTTGTGTCTCAGCTGGTTTTACACTATGTGATATTGTGACATCAAATATTTATGTTTAAATATTTTAATTAAATGTTGACCGATTCACAATGTAAGACAACCGGGGGAATCCCATGATCTGGTGCTACAGGCCTGCCTATGACCGGATCAGGTCAGCTTTTCTTATTTATCTGAGCCAGTACACCACCTGGTATTATAACATCAAATCTTGAAGTGCAAATATCTCAATCGACAATTGACCAATTTACAATGTAAGACCACTGATGGAATCCCATGATCCGGTGCCACAGGCCTGCCTATGACCAGATGAGGTCTGTTTTTTTTATCTCAGCCGGTATTACACTACCCGGTATTGTAGCATCAAATATTGAAGTGTAAAGATCTCAATGAACAATTGACCAATTTACAATGTAAGACAACCAGTTGCATCTCATGATCCGGTGCTAGAGGCCCACCTATGACCGGATCAGGTCAGCTTTGTCTTTTTTATCTCAGCCGGTATTGTAACACAGAATATTGAAGTGAAAATATCTCAGTCAAATGTTGACCGATTTACAAAGTGAGACAACTGGTGGCATCCAATGACCCGGTGCTACAAGCCTACCTATGACTGGATCCGGTTGGCTGGTATATTCCGGCTGGTATTTCACTACCCGGTATTCTAACATCAAATATTGAAGTAAAAATATCTCAGTCAAATATTGACCGATTTACAAAGTGAGACAACTGGTAGCATCCCATGATCCGGTGCTACAAGCCTACCTATAACCGGATCCGGTTGGCTGGTATATTCCAGCTGGTATTTCACTACCCGGTATTCTACCATCCAATATTGATGTGCAGATACCTCAGTCAAATATTGACCATTTTACAAAGTGAGACAACCGGTGCAATCCCATGACCCGGTGCTACAAGCCCATTCATTACCAGATCCGGTCGGCTGGTATATTCCGGCTGGTATTTCACTACCTGGTATTCTAACATCAAATATTGAAGTAAAAATATCTCAGTCAAATATTGACCAATTTACAAAGTGAGACAACCGGTAGCATCCTATGATCTGGTGCTACAAGCCTACTTATGACCGGATCCGGTTGGCTGGTATATTCCAGCCGGTATTTCACTACCCGGTATTCTAACATCAAATATTAATGTTTAAATATCTTGGTCAAATGTTGACCATTTTACAAAGTGAGACAACCGGCAACATTGCATGGACCGGTGCTACAGCCCTACCTATGACCGGATCTGGTTGGCACCTCCTTTTCTGGCCCACTATATTTTGGCCCATCCATCTCTATTGTACCTAATAATCCCTCGGCCCACTTGTCTCCATTGTATACTCCATTTACTATATTCAGCCCATCCCTTTCCATCCGGTATACACTACACTTGGCCCATCCCTTTCCATCAGGTACACTACACTCAGCCCACCCCTTTCAATCGGGTACACACTGTCATCGGCCCATCCCTTTCAATCGGCTACACACTACACTCAGCCCACCCGTATATATAGGTACAATTTCAGCCATGGGCCCAGTGGGATGGCCTGTCTGCTTTGGTACATTGTCACCCTTGGCTGCCCATCTGAGATGGGATCCAGTTACTGTATTATGTGTTTGAATAAAGACTAAGTACTAAGTTAGGACAAAATCTGTCAATTAAGCATGAACAAAAACTAAGTGCGAATGTTGAGTTGTCTGTCAGCCGCTGAGTGGATGGCTTCAGGATCATTTGGAGTTCAACCTGAGGTTCAAACTGTTTGGTCTGTCAGCCATAAGCGATTTATCCTGGAAACAACACCAAACAAAGGCTACACCCCAGGTCTATTATTTGCACAGAGTGTCCTTGAGTTATCCCTCAGCAGTCTCTCTATACACTGTCAGCACAATAATTGTTGCATCAACAGGCTCGTTTGGTCATCCCACTATGGTTGAAAGCAGGATATCCCAGAAACAATACTGGTCTACAGTTCAGCCTTGTAAGTACTACATATGTAGGGTGTCTTACAGATATCCCTGTGCGGCTGTTCTGCTTATCATTGGTATAATAATCACTTCACCAACAGGCCCATCACTCAATCTATTACTATGCCTGGTGGAGAATCCCCTCACCTTGATGGTATGAAGTGATCCAGATATGCTAACAACTATTAATACTAATCCAAGATATAATTTTGCTAGTTTGGACACCTGCTAAGGGGAACAAATGGGTCTGCAACCTTTGTCAGGACAGTAAACCCCATGATCGGTGAGCAATGCAGAAGCACAAGAAGGCTCAGTCACATCAAGCTGCAGTCAAATATCATTCAAGACAACAGCCACATTGCAGGAATGGTTCAATGGTACCTGAAGATCAATCTAACTCCATTGTCGAGCTACCTTGACTTCTCAATGACATGGCTAATAGCACTCCTAATTTTGAGCTGGGCGACTCAACAGATGACATCAGCAACTACTTGGTCACAACCACAATGATCGCACAAGGTTTAAGTAACTTTTTAGATGAGGATGACCTCTCAGACAATCAGGGAGCTGAAATATCAGAAGATGAAGAGGTTTTTACAGGGTGGACATTGCATGACAGTATGTTACTCTAACTACACAGTATGCAGCTCACTTTCACATTTTGAGCAGATTATGGCTGGGCTAGTGACACTGTTATCGGAACCAGCAATAATAGAATGTGGTCTTGACATCAAATCATGAATGAGGAGTGGTTTCTGTGGCCCAATAAAATTGTACATTTTTCTATCAATCTGCTGACTATTGTCGATCCAGTGGTGTTGTATTAGATGTGCATACTTGATATTCTCATGCACCTTCCACGCTCTGTTTTTTCAGAACGACAGATTGATATTTTGCTCTGGCTACTTTGGGTCAACAACATGGACGATGTACCTTCAGTGAAGTCTGTCAAACTTATCAAAGACACTATTCAACGACTATGTGGTATCCACCCAATTCCTTATGATGGTGCTCTTGGGCATAGGTACTATGTTAACTCATTGCCTGACATTATTCAGCAGGTGTGTTGCATTGCTGAGATGTAGTCAATATTTATACTTGATTGTATTTACAGGAAATGATGAATCCTCGAGTTCGCCCACTGTTGCACTTCTACCCTAAAGATACTGGTATTGAACTGAATGAAGCTTGACAAGCTAAATGTTGGCTTGAGGAACTCGACCCGGAGCTGCTTACGCCTGTTATCAGACTGCACAACCAAGATTTCTTTATTTTCGAGCCTGCATTGCTATCAAGCAGCCAAGCTTGCATTCCCTTTCGCTGGTTCGTGTGTGGTGGCAAGATGTATACTAAAGCTTGGTCATTGTGGCCTGTTGCTCATGAACTGGATTGTGGTTGGGTTGTAGAAGATTTTTATTCATTTGAAGTATCTGAAGACGATCTTCTTGTATCATTCAAAAACTGGGATTCGAGCGAAGCAACATCTGGTCTACCTCATGCATACTCAATTTATGGTAGAGTCATTTGATCGTTCTAACTATTACACTGTACAAATATCTGTTTAGGTGTTGAACATGAACCGAACAGTGAATTGCAGCCATGGACATTGACCAATCCCTCTGAAGGCAACCAATGGCATGTTCGGGCATTGGGTGCTCGTGTATATGTGATGCCTCTTTGGTTATACTGCGACGATACATCTGAAAACTTGCCAAAGAAGTGGAACAAACACAATTCATTCCTTTTTACGGCTGCGGGATTGCCACAAGCAGAAGTTCACCAAGAGTACAATGTTCATTTTCTTTGTACATTGAGTCTTGCCTCTCCGCTTGAAATGTTGGATGGTATTGTAGACCAACTTGAGTGAGTGAGACTTGTTGCAAGCAGGCAAGTGGAAATAATGATGCTGGTAAAATTTAGAGAATCTTGGAAGCAAGACATCTGGGCCTGGGATTGTGTCCACAAGGAGTATGTTCTCATCATTCTGTCAATCTTGGCATTGCTTGGGGACAACCCCATGCAAAGTGAGATGGCCTGTCATATTGGGTCGATGGGAAAGTACTTTTGCTGTATTTGTAAAGTGAAGGGGCATGATGCAAGTGCGGAGAGCAATCCTGCATAAGCAGCTGCTACACGGCCTGAAGACACTGACCACAGTGTCGGTGAGGTTAGTGGAAGTGAGTCCAACGCCCATAGACATGCTCCTCTGAAATATACATGGAAACAAGCAAAGGAGACCATGGAGGAGATGGTAACACGAGCTAAACAGTTCGTAAAGGTAACAAATCTGAGTGTTCTTGTATATACTTTTGTTTATGAAGCATGCTAGCAGATAGGAGAACCATGTCACAAGAACAATACTATTGCTGAACTCAAGTTGATGTTCAGTCATGCATCAACAGTTGGGAAGCAGACACAGATCAAACAAATGAAAACTTCTACAGGCATCAAGGACACCTTTCTGGACTCATTCTTAAATCGCCTAGCTGATTCACACTGCAAAATCTGTGGTGGTAACAAGGCAAAACAAGAAGCGCTTGATAGAGTCAAAGAGACGCTGCCTGAAAATGTCATAAGTCCTGTGTGGTGAATCAAAGGTCTCTCAACAAATTTTGCAGTATATTAGAATTGACTTCAATAACATTTTAGGTATTGATCCTCACACTGACATGCCTGTGGAAATCCTCCACATCGTCCTTCTTGGATTTGTCAAATACCTTTGGTGTGATGTTGTCTCTGTAAGGATCGGAAAAGACAAACTGAAATGTGAACTTTTAGAAACTCACCTATCATCTCTTGACATCTCAGGTCTTGGACTCAGCCATCTTGCCGGTCACACCCTCGTTCAATATGCAGGGTCTCTTGTTGGTCGTGATTTTCATGCCATTGCCCAAGTTGCACCCTTTGTGCTTCATGACTTGGTACCCACGGAATGCTATGATGCTTAGGTTGCATTATCAAATCTGATACCACTCATCTGGCAGCCTGAAATTGAAAACTCCACAGAACATTTGGTATGCACAGCTGTGTAATACTTTTCAGTTTTATCTGCTGATATTCATATCATCCGATTATTATTGTCTCAGCGCAAGCTCACAACATCAATCAATAACTTCCTTGCATGCACCGCCAAGTGGACTCCTCAATGGTTCAATAAGCTCAAATTTCACATTTTATTACATGTTGTCAACCATATTCAACGATTTGAGCCAGCTGCTTTGTTTGCAACAGAGGCATTCAAGTCCTTCAATGCTGTCATCTGTGCAAAAAGCATCCATTCAAACCACTGTACTCCTTCTCGGGATATTGCACGTTCCTTTGCTCATGGAAGTCGGATTCGTTATATTCTCTTGGGGGCATGAATACTGATACACAATAATACACATGACATTCACTCTGATTCTCCTGAACTTACTATGCGAGCCTCTGATCCCTTGTCCAACAAGCCTGCAGATGCTATAAAGGTCAAAGATGTTGGAAAGGGTCCATTGTTACTTGTTCATCAGCCAAATATTATCACTGACGACCTCAGGCTTGACACACAAACTGACACTAGGAAATACAGTAAAGTTCAATTTTCAACTTTGAGAAACCAAGGCTCAGTATTTTTAGGTCAATACCTTCAGTAACAACCTACCACTCCAGCCATACTCCACTACTGAGACAGGAAAAGCTTTTCCGAATGCACTTCAATCACTTCCAAACGACACTCTCAAAGGACACAATTTCCGTACTTGCAAGTCTGTGATGCTGTTCAATGGGGATGTTTGTCAGATAGGAGACTGGGTCCTCACAGCGAAGGGCACAGCTGAGCAGTCTCTGATTGTAGCATGTATTCGAGAAATTATTCAGTGCCAAGGATAGATGCAGATAAGCTTTTGCGTCCAGATGCAATTCTTCTGGAATGTGGACGTGTTGGTGAACCAGCAGCACCCTACTCTATGCCTGCAGTCAGGGCTCATGGTGGGTTTTTACTCTATCCTGTTGAGGTTGGTGTTTGATCTGTATAAGTCATCAGTCACTGAATTTTCATTTCTATGACAGCAAATTTTATGCGCAGCAAATCTGCAGCATCAATGGCAAGCACACGGCTGCACAGGCTTGGCTTCTGACATCGAGTTTGTTTACGAAGAATGGACAAAGACATCAAAAGCTAAAGTTGCCATACATCATATTGGGGACCCTGATGACCTTGTTCTCAACACTGCACACATGCGAGATGCAAAGCACATGCAGGGTCTTTGGGTACCTATTCAGCCACCAGATATGAACCTCGCAATCCTTGAGGGTGGAGATTCAGATGCATAATGATACCACAAGTGGAGCTTCCATGACGTCTATCATAGCAGCGGCACATGGACCACATGGACGGGGTGCTCAAGGCTGACAAGTTAATAGATCACTCTTACAGCAAGACCGGTCTGTATCACAAGTTCAGTAACAAGCAAGTTCTTCATTGTATTCCCTTCTACATAGTATCATTTGCTGCACTTACACGTACTCAGGAGCAGTTTTTTATTATATTCCCTTCTACATATCATCTGCTATTATGCCACCTGTGCGTAACTTTTGTGCGGCTCTTAGTTGATTACTAATGTTACTTGATAATAGTGTTGTCATTTGCAGGGATATTACTATATTACAGCCATCCAACATCCTTAATACAACAGCGACTCGAAACCAAAACTCTTCTGCCTTGAGGCCATTGTTATTACAGCGCCCACCACTATCAAACATGATCCTTATTACAACAATGAAACCAAAATTATACCTTGAGGCCATCCTTGCTGCAGTGCCGACTACCACCAAACACAATCCTTATTACAACAAGGAAACCAAAGATATGCCTTGAGGCCATCATTAATCCTCATGGAACATGTCGATAAGTATCACATTTCAATAGCAGAGCAGTTTCCAGTAACTCGTCTTTGAGTCGGTCATTCATTTTCACTGTCACTCTCATTCATCCCAGTCTTCAAATATGTCCTTCAATTTCTCTATTCCACCTGCCGATTCCCAGCCACGGGCATTAACATCCTTTCAATTTTCCAATTCACCCAATGGTTCCTAGCCAGCAAGTCCTTCGAATTCAAGTTTCCTTTTGAGCCCTTCTGGCTACCAACTTAACACTCCTGGATCCTCGCCTTCAAGTTCACATCAACCACAAATTGACCCAAATCTATTTGCAAACAAATTGTCTGCCCTCTTTGTGGATACACTCGCCAACCAATTTGGCTTTGGCAACACAAAACAGGCCTTATGGAAAAACCTACATGGTTTTCCTAAGGTACATCAATGGTTCGATTTTTCATCCACACACTGAGATTTTTTTGCATTGCAGCTCAGTGAAGATGAGGAATCTAAACTGTGGGGAAAGTTAGTGCTAAGCAGAAGCACACATGGCTTGGTTCATGTTGACAATATTAGCCAAAGAAGTAAAAATTAAAGTTGCTAAAGAAGACTAAGTACTTGGCATGTAAGTTTATGAGTGATTACATCATACCACAATTATTGAGAGATGATACCCCCCAGTCGTCCATACAACAACAAAAATCACCTGTTTCCATACAGCGAATCACCTTCGCTCGCACTCCAGCCTAATCAAAGGGGTCCAACACCTGATTAGCTGCTATTTGCAATGCCAGACAGCAACACAAACCATCCTTGACACTGCTACCATCCACGCAACCATAGTTATCACATCTCACACAGGAAAATGACGGGCTGTCATGGATGCAGTCGAGGGCAGCAGAGTTAAATATTTTTGAAAACATCAGACATTTGACTCACCTAGTTATAGAGCCGCTTCTGTGGTGTCAAGGACTCAAGAGTGATTTAACATTGTCGTCACGCCAGCATTAAACCAAGTGTGTCAAGATACACACTTAGATCCACACCAGAAAACAGGCATGGAACAGACACATGCAAAATAAGGGTGATGGAAGAGGTGAGCTATGTGAGCAAAAGAAAGGAGGGCATTTGGGATGAAGTCGAGTTTGTATTTGACAGACTTAAAAAAAAAGGTGCAAGATACTTTTTGGCACCAAGGAGCTTAGGGTTGAGAAAGGGTCGGAAAATAACACACTGGTAAAAACAGACACAGTTTTAAGTGAGGGAAGAGGCTGTCTTATGAAGTCAAATGTGGTTTGGTTAGCCTGAGTAGGGTCTGTTTAGAGGCTGTTCGGCAACCAGATGTTGCCTAACATTTGGCAAATGTCATGTGAGGATTCTCGGCTTCAAGCATCTCAATTGTTGGAGCTCAAACCTTAAATCTCATACCTGTACATCTACCATGAACTCTTATCTTATTGACTGCTCTCATCAGCAGAGACTCTGCACCTCTGTTGTTGCACTCACTGCTCTTTGTGCTAGCTTTACTACAGTCCTCATGGCTCAACCTAAAGTAACATCGATGTTGGACAACGTAAAGGCACACTGGCAAGACACAGAAGTGGACCTTCTACTCCAACACCTGATTCAGAATCGGGCAGCAGGTGGTGATGGTGGGAACTTCATGATGCCCACCTTCAACAGCGCAGCCACTGCTATCAACGACAATCATGCAATTCAAACAATAGGCCCTCCGAAGACGTGCAAGATGGTTAAAACAAAGTGGACATTGGTATGTGATCATTTCTCAAATGATTATAAGTTTACGAGCATGTTTTAGCTCAAAAAAATCTACAATCAAATCGAGATCTATCGCAACGTGTCTGGTTTCCATTGGGATAATGTGTGGGGGGCTGGAATAGAGGGGACAGCTGCCCCCAGTGTTTGGGATATGTATGTTGACCCCAAGGTATGTAATTATAATCAATTCTATTGCATTTGACTGATGCCCAAAAGTCACAAGCTGTGATGCACCCCCTTTGCAACAAAGGGTGGGCTCCATATGACAACATGCAAATGATCTTGGGCAATAATAGCGGCGCTCATGGAAGGCATGCATTACACCCGGCTACTGCACCCCCTCCGTCTGTCAATACCGCAGATGACGTGCTTGATGTTTTTGACGGAGGCCTTGACCTTCGTATGATGGATATAGACACTTCTGGAGCCGCTGCCCCCAGTGATGTGCCTGACATGAGCCCTGAATTGATGATGCCACCTAGTGCCCAACTTCATGAAACCTCTGCTACTACTCAGGCTGCCGGCTCACAGTCCAGTAAATGCATGCGCACTGACACTTTTGTCAACTCTTCATCTCAATGCACTGGTGCCCCTCCTACGTTCATCAATCCTGTTCCTCTTTCATCAACGTTGGTATCATTACTGGCTCCCAAGAAGGCGTGAGTGTCAGCCCAAGTTGGCATGCAGCCAGAAATAAATAGTGCTGCAAAGTTTGCTGTGAAGATTACTCCAGCAGTTGCCGTCATGAACATGCAAGGTAGCATTAACCACCTCACAGATGTTATCGAGAAGACCATAGCCGCTCCGCCTCCACCACCAGTCCCTCAGGTTGTTGTACCAACTATACCAAATATCATCTCTCATGGCCTAGAGATAATGTGCAGCAAAGATGGGGATTTTTTGTCAGTTGGTCAGAGAGCCAGTCTCCTGCACATATTTTCCCTTGCAGGGGGGGATAACAAGCTTGCTATCTATGTTGAGCTCTAGGATGACTATGAGACATGCCGTGCATTTATCTTAGAGCTCTTGGACTCTCTGCAGTAGTACTATCATACCATTTGTGTTGCCGCACTTGTTTGCTGCACTTGTTACATTTCTCACCTCGTACTAACATGTAGTATCCATTTCATGTACTGCTCATTCTACATGTATTTCGTGCATCATCGAATCATATATCAATTGGAATGGATCAAATACAAGTACATGGTGCTTGCTACTAGTGAGAATTAGTCCAGTCCATCCTCGTCATCTGAAACATTGTCATCATCATTACCAAGGACACATTGTTCTTCTAACATATGCTGATACTCAACCCACATCACATGCACAATGAGATCACACTGCACATGCAGATCATTGTTTGCAGCCGAAGCTTCTTCTACTGCCTGCTCCCAGTTGGTGCCGGTGTGTGTGCTGTGAGCATCCGAATAGTCTGCTTCAGGTAGCGCACCTTCTGAGGAATCATGAAAATGGATGAAGTTGTGAATGCAGCACAACACTGCTGTAATCTGTGCTTGTATGTCCATAGCATCTGGCGGGTGATAGATGGAGGATTCGAAAATGTTGTTTGAGGACACCAAAAATATGCTCAATGATGTTTCGAGCAGACAAGTGACGCAGATTGCATAGCTCTTCTTTCATAGTTGGCCTATAAATAATCAGCACATTGTAGAAAGAATAACACCAGTACATGTACCTCATACCTGCATGGCCCCATTCTGCAAGGTGGTAGTGCACATTGCGGTATGGAACGAGTAGTTCAGGCTGCAGAGGGAAGCCTGCATCTGCAAGGAAATATTTCCCTGCAGGAATTTGAAGGTCATGTCCCACTGCAGCCTCGTAGATACGTGCGTCCGTGGCTGATCCTTCCCAGCCAGTGAGTGTGTAAGTAAAATTGAGTTTGAAATCACAAGCAAATAGGCAGTTTTGTGAAATGAAACCCTTCCAATTGCGATAGGGACCTTGTTCGAATGTGCGAGGCGAAGCGTGAATGTGGCTACCATCAATAGCCCCAATAGTATCTTTGAAAAACCGCCAAAACTTAGGGTCAGAGCGAATTTTATCGGGAATGGAGTCATCCGGCAAGTGAATATAGCTTGTGCAGAAGGGTGAAGACGAGAATATCTTGAGCATCTTGCAAAAATAACTAGTACATAGGATATACAATGAGACATCTGCAAATCATAACTAATAGTGTGTATTTACCAAGAAATTGTTTCATTGGAGCGTTGAAATCGTTCGCCGACGTGCCCGACAGATAGTCCTGTGACAGACATATATAGAAAAATCACGAGTTGTTCCTCTAGCGAAACAAACTTGGAGTTGGTATAGCCAAGGGTATGAAGCTCAGATATAAGCTGTGCAAAAGCATGTGCGTGCATGCTGAGTTCACAACGAATCTGTTCTGGGTGGCCAGTCAATAGCTTTATCACTCAGTGTTCACCCAAGAGAGCAGATGTATGATATGGTTCTGGATCCTTGGCATACACCGACTGTAGTAGATGGGCTGTAGCGCTGATTAAGATGCTGACTAGAAGGATTGAGTGTTGGATGAGGCGCTGTTGAACTTCTGGATGTTGGGGCATGAAACACTGGAGTTCTGATTGAGGATCCATTGGTGTACGGACACATAGAGTACAGATGTAAGAACAGCATATTATACCCTACAGTGTCAGCGTGCTAGGGTTAGTCCAAATTCAGCCTATGATTCAAGCTCCAAACTTCGGCAAAATCCAAGCCAAGATGACATTTCCCAAATGTACATTGTTAGGCACCTGATGTTCCCACGTGCCTGATCTAATTAGACCTGACAGCTGGGGGTGATGGCATATCTAAGTCAATATGTTTCTACGTCTCCCCACCCAAATGAATAAAGGCTCGATATTGAGGAGCCTTAGATCAGTGTTGAGGCCGTTCTCGGGAGTATCCTGCCCTAGGCCATTGCACCCGTGTGCCTGGGAACTTTAATTAGACATTCTGACTATATTTGGATGCCGGCAACTTCTGGACAACGGTAACCAAGCCACGTCAGCATCCAAACCTTCGTGCTCGCTGTCTGACACAGCGAGCTCGTGTATCTTGCCAAGGAGAGCATGGATTTGGGGCAGACCTTGACATGTATGTAGCTAGAGGTAGATACATATGATTGCAATGGTTGTTAGGTAGAATAACAGGTCTTTTGAGCTCAAAACATTACAAAAGTTAACTACCCTAAAGGCTGAGTCAAACTTCGTCCTCGCTGCTCTCCTCCTCAGACGAGTCGATGAACTCGACATTCTTTGGAGCCTGTTTCAATGTCCCTGGTGCTCGTGCCTGCTTTCTGGGAGGGGCATTTTCCTTGCCCTTTCATTTACGAGGCATCCCAGCGTCTGCACGCTTCTTGCGTGGTTTGCCAACCTTTTCCCCACTTTTACGGCGTGCATCCAGTAGAGCGTGAAACTTGTCACACTGATGGGGAGTCATACGGAACCAGTGGCAAGAGCCATCCTTCAGAGCACCTCGGAGTTTGAGGAGGGCATTGAGATCATTAATGTTGGTGGGGGATTGAAAGGGAACACCTTTGGACCAGCCCTTCATATCGATCAAAAGCTTCTCCTTGATTGCAGTATCAAAATTTGCATAGTTGATGCGGATGTCGCATCTCTTAGCTATAGTTCCTAAACAACAAAGGTTAGTATTGATCTTCCGAGTCATAAGATAAAAAAAATGACTTACTCAGCCCTGAGTTGAGGAGGCGAGTACAGACACACTGCATGTTCTGCACTGTTTCATGTTCATCAATGTCTAGTGCATGTAGATCAGCATATATACCAAGAAAACATAAGAAATAAAACATACTTCGACCTATCATACATGCCCATTGCTCCAGCTTCCGTGCGATTTCATCGGCCTCCGTTTGCAGCACATCCTCCCAGAAATCCATGATGTTGTCGGTCCCAAACCATGTGGCTTGTGCAGTGTCATAAACATGACCACGAGAGGCAAACAGACAAGCATACATCCCAGTTCTTACAGCAAGACCGTCAAGCTATATTTATGTAGTCAGTAGTTGAATCATTCAGAGTGAATATAACTCACCATTTTGAAGATCGTGTCCAAAGTTGATTGAACATCGCGTGCAGCTGCCGTATTTGTTGCTCGCACACTCATGTTGCGCAGAGCTCGGTGCTCACTGAGCTTGTCGACCAACTCTTGTTTTTCCTCCTCTGTTAGATCTTGCATGGTCTTATTGTCCTTGACCATCTGATGGATCTCTCCAGGAGTATATTTGGCGCCCCGTGGTAGATCTGTCATGATTGTGAGGTGCTAGTCCAATGTTCAAATAAATAGAATACATTACCTCTATTTACCTCCTCAGCTTTTGTGTGCATAAGAGCGTTCTCTAGCTGCACACATCGACCCACTGTATAATGTTTAGTACCTCCCACCAGTTTCTTGACCTTCTCCACAGAGATGCTGTGTTCCAGAGCGATCTCATTCATCTTCTGTGCCTGGTCTGCTAGCAGCTGCTGAATTGAACTGTGCAATGCCACCTCAGACTCTTTGCGTTGCTGGGAAGAGATTTTTCGAGATGCTCGTTGAGCATTTGCGCATGCTTTCTGCACAGGATTAAGTGGGGCACATGGTGCAATGATAGGCCTATTGGGATTTCTTGCAGCCCAAGATGAGTTGTTAGTATCACGTATGAGGGCCACCGCTGCACCAATGAGGTCTGGTGGGTTAGTGTTCCTGTTACCGGGCTCAATGAGGTCTGGTGTGCTGGTGTTCCTGTTATCATGCTTGGAGTGCTGTTGTGCAACACTCTCCACAGGTTGACCAATATTGTCTTCAGAAACGCTCTCCGCAGGTTGACCTTCAGCATCGACGCTACCTTGTGACATGTGATGTGTGACTGGCACATCACCTACTGATGTATCTGGCTCGTTTTGTTGGGAGTTCAGTAAGTCGCTGAGGGAAGGGAGCCCAGAGTACAATGTCAGATCGTCCCAGTTAATGTTCAGTGGAGGGAATGTGAAAGAGAAAGGAACAGGATTTTGGGATGACCCATCCCAAGGCTGGTGTTGAGGAGGGTATAGTGTTCCAAAGTCTCCCACCATTGTTGAATCTGAAATGCAAATGAAAAAAAATTGAAAAAAAAAACACGCTCATCTTACCTGACTGATGCTGAGTACCATTGTACATGAAATCTTCTGAAGTTCCACAACCAGAAAAGTTGAAGTCGTGCATTGTGATGAGATTCAATCGAGCACCTGATGGAAGTCAAAATGAAGGTGCGACAGTTTTCAACACGTCAAATTTTCAGAAATTCAGTAAATAATTAAACTACCTATGCTCTACGCACAGTAAATGAAGGTATGATGCGCTTGTTCAAAACATATCAATTTTTTAGAAATTTGTAAAATAAATAAATCACCTGCACAGCCTATTGTCACGTGTGTGAACAAGGAGAATATGTCGTCTCCAGCAGAGGGGCAATATGTCTTCGAAAATTGAGCTGCATTTTGGCAGTGGCCTACCATGGATTTACATAGCGGATATTCCGCCACAGGTTTTGGTTGAAAAACAAAGTGAGTACGAAATGAGAAAAATGAGTATGACATGAGTGGAACATACACTGTCTGGGTATGACTTTCAATCAATGATAGGGTGATGGTACAACATAAATTTCTATAAGAAAGTCAACAGGTAAGTGCAAAAAACATCAGGAGGTGTCTGCAGACATACTGGTGACCAAGTAGTCCATAGCACTGGGAATACAGCATCATGATGTCGAACTAATATCATTGAACTGCGGTTCACCAGCTTCTGAGCGAGTTCCCACTATCAGTAAACACTACAGGCCAGTAATACTCGCTGGATGACGTACCACTTAAGAGAAAAGAGAATGTTATGTAGTTGGTAGAACTTCAAAGGTTTGATCACAGTGTGGCAGTGTGTGAAGCGTTCAATTGATGCTATTCTTAGCACTACACTATTCTTGGCACCTTGTGCATGCGTTGTGCTGGCGGTAGTTCTTCTGTGCTGCCTACTATCAATTGACCTCTTCCAATCAAACGACACTGAATCACTCACAAAACTTCAAAGGTATTTATTTTCACTCAAATAATACCATGTCACTTTCAAAAACTTGGAAGCTACTTAGTTTTCACTCAAATGACAGCAAGTTACTCACAAAAGCTCAATCCTTCTACTCAAACGACACCGAGTCACTCTCAAAAACTCAGAAGGTATTTATCTTCACTTGAATGACACCGAGTCACTCTCAATAACTTGACAGGTATCTACCTTCACTCGAGCAACACCGAGTCACTCTCAAAAACTTGAAAGGTATGTATCTTCACTCGAACGACACCAAGTCACTCTCAAAAACTTGACAGGTATCTACCTTCACTCGAGCGACACCGAGTCACTCTCAAAAACTTCACAGGTAACTATCTTCACTCAAACGACACCAAGTCACTCTCAAAAACTTGCAAGGTATTTATCTTCACTCAAATGACACCAAGTCACTCTCAAAAACTTGCAAGGTATTTATCTTCACTCAAACGACACCGAGTCACTCTCAAAAACTTGGAAGGTATTTATCTTCACTCAAACACCTACTGTACCCTGCCTATATCTACATGATGATGTCTTCGCTTATGATGTTCTTTGGGTGTGAAAGCAATAATATTGTTTACTGAACATGCATTATTTGGTACTTTGCCAGACCAGCGAACTATAACGAAGGGCATCAAAGTATGTATCAACTCCAAGAAGTTCGATCATTGACAACAACTCTTCCAATGCCCGAACATGCAAAACTGCCGCATCTACAACAGATGCTATTCCGTCTCACAATTGATCTGTGAGAGGCCCCTTAACATCACAGGCCTCGATGCGCAAGTCATATGCTTGCTGAAGCACATGCTTCACCTCGGCAAAGCCTGCCTCACATCCTGGCTTGACTGAATCCCAACCCTCTCGATCTACCTCAGTCACAATTGACATCCCATATGACTCCAGGAATTTGCATTGGAGAGTGCTGCTATGGTAGCCTAGACTTGACCATAAACTATCAAGATGCTGAAGAAGAACTTGAGTATCCTAAGTGCAAGTATTACTGACAACATGTGCATGAATTTAGAGTGAATACTTACCACAGCTGCCCCTCTACGACGTCACCATCGTGTGTGAGACTTTACTTGTTCCTGAACTCGGTGACTAGATGTGTATAAATCAGTTGGTGAAGTAACAAGAACTGAGAGCAATTTACCGTGCATAGCTCTCCTTCTTTGATTTTAGTCGAGCCTCATGACGCTCTTCCTCAGTTTCATACTTGGGACGCATGATGTACAGTAGTTGCATTTGTTAGGGATGAGTAGAGCAAGTTTTTCGTCACATGAAAATTATGAGTATTCAAAATCTGTATAACTGACACAAAATTCATTCACACTTCGGGACACAAACTCAAGGCATGCATATATTTGACTACAACACATATGATGGTCATTCAATTGACATCACTTAGCATTATTTTGATCTCCCGAACTATTAGCAAACACTAGACTTGTCGTAATCAATTGACAGCATTCACAGTAGAACATTCGAATATATGGACACAGAATTTTCATAATGCAAAGTTGACATACTTCAGAAGTACAAATGGTATTTGAAATATAGTAGTATATACATGTCCTCTTCTACTCAGTCTCAATCCAAACTGAAACTGTCCGTATATTCAGTGCCCTCTTTTACTCAGTTTCAACCCAAAGTGACGCTGTCCATATACTCAGTGAGGTCATCAACTTGTGCCCATAACTCATCGCTTGAGCTCGTCAGAGCCTGGGAACTCGGAGGAGATGATGTTTGAGGTTCGAGGTGAGTACCAGCAGCTGAGGACACAGCTGATTTGGTTGGTGAGGGAGCCGATCCTTGCGGAGTCTCTATTATAGTGTTCAAGATGGGGAGGTTTGACTGCCAGCGAGTGAGAGTTAGTGGGAAATCACAATAACTAGATAACACTACTTACAGGCCCAGTTATTGTCTGTGTAGTGTTAGAGTCAACAGTGCAAGTTCTCTCTTTCACAGTCTCAGTCTCCATCACATCAAATGTTGTCTTTGTGCGAGTGATGGTCCGGTCAGAGTGAGAACGCACAGCGCGGCTGGTCCATGTGCGAGTCACGGTCTTGACATGCTTGCGGTTCTGCAGGCAATCTTCTGAAGTTGCACTAGGTGACTCGGAGGACATGGTGTAGAGTCTATAAACTCAATTGTGAGGTGGAGTGAGTCGAGAATCAGTTGGACAGAGATTGACAATATATGGTCACGTGTATGCACTGATCAGTGATAACAAAAATTAAAATCTATGTACTGCGAAAATAAGCAAAATATATGGTGCCCTTAGTACGAGGACATACCAGCAAGGTCCACTGCAATCGAACCGGCCTCGCATCGTCCAAAATCCGGCATGTAATCTCTCACCGCAATCCAGTTGGTCATGGACTCTGCCTGACGCAGGAAACCCTAGGTCCTAAGAAGATTGCTGAACGGGCAGCTGCAACAAATGCGCGAAAGAGAGCTCATATAGAAGGTGAGTGAGTGGGTTTATGAGCTCAAATGATATCTGAACAAACCAACAACTTACCTAGTGCTAACTGCGGAGGAGAAACGCGCCCTTGACATGCTTCAAGAACGTAATTTGGATGACCATTTTGATGACAATGGTGATTTTGGCTCTAGCATCCTGGATGGGTTCGAGTCAGTTGATATCAGTCATGCCGGTGGTGAGTTTTATGAACTTACAAGAGAAATGATGGGTAATTTCTGGAATGTGTAAGTTGCACATCTATATTAAGCAGCTGTTGAGAACTCACCAGAAATACTCCAAGGTCCTCCCAGGTACGACGCCCAGACTACAGGACGAGGCGTGATAGAACACGATGCCGCACTGAGGCATTTGACAACCAAATGCCAGTGTTAGTACATGCATACCTTGACTGGCACCTCACCAACAGTGCCACCAATGGCCAAGGCTTCTTTTCACACCGTGCTGCTGCTGCCCATCAAGGGACCATGGATATTAATGCTGGATCAATTGCCGTGAAAGTTGTGGACATGTTCTGTGAGTGAGAGTTTGAATGATGGCATGATCTGATCAAATCTGATGCTGACATACAGACGCTGAAAAGGTACCTTTAATGATACTCCCTACTGACTTGTTCTTAGCTTCGGCACTTGTTCATCAGGGAGTCATACCCTGCTCTCCAATCAGTCCCTCTACAGGCATAACTATAGAGTCTCTTGACTTTTACCGCATTGCCCGTCAATGCAACCCTCATTTCTCAATTCAGGCATATGTGAAGACAATGTGCGATAATTGTTCTAAGTTCTAACATTGTTTCACTCATGCCTTAGGTTCAATTTCACTTGTATCTCTCACGACAATTTTCAATCGCACTCAATGTATACCTTCAGATTCTCACCAATGTCGATACTCTGCTTCACGAAGCAATTGGACGACAGGACCCTGACTGGCGCCTAAAGCATTGCTGTCCTGCATGCACATACACTCTTCAAGATGAAGTCTCATTACAATTCAAAATCCTTTTCACGATGGATGGTAATGATTCCCTCAAGCGAGTATTGAAAAAAGTGTCACACGATTCAGATGCCGACGACTTAGACAACATGGAGAGCAGGGCAACGCAACACTCCTCTGAGCTGCCCACTACGCAATATGTTTGAGGCGATCATTACCTGCCCAGGGAGTATGTCGACTCATTTAGATCTAATGATTCATCAATGGATATGCTGGAAGACAATGATAAGGTGAGTTAAGTGTTCCATATTTTTTGTTCATTGCTCAAATTCATTAGGACAACCCTTGTATTGGACGATGGAAAAACATGCAGGATGACAAGACAAAGAAGATGTGGGATGTTTTCGACGAGTCTGGTATCTTCTTAGCTGTCTGTCGTCACGGGTTTTCCCTCCTCTGAGCAGATATGATTCAGAGTGGCGAACAGTGAGTTAGATTTGGTATACTACTCACTATTTACTTGCTGATTCTACCTCCAGGGCAAAATATCCTCTAGCCATTGTCTCCAAGCTCTTAGATGTCTTTGGGAGGGATTTGGGCGGCAGTTATGACATTGGCTGTCGGTTCAAAACCACCCTGCATCAGAGTATCCTGGGACAACGTGCTCGCAAACTTAACTACACTTCACTTGTTGGCGCTTTCCATGGACATGCTCACTGACATCTTTGTCAACTCGACCACCTCGCCACATATGTTAAAGGCCTCGGACTTGAGGACCTCGAGGGTTGTGAGCGAACATTCTCGAAGTCCAATGCACTCGCTTCCTCTGTGCAATATGCAAGCACCTTTCACCGCCGTCAGACAATCACACATTATTTTCAGCACAATGACGACTTCGAAACTTTTGCAAATCTTAGTAAGTAATTGGAGTCCTTTTGCCCACAGAAGCGCTAATCCTAATTTCTAGCAACATTTCTCTACAATAACTATAAGCAAGCTCTCGACATCCTTCATGATGGTCAGAAGACCTTGCCAAAGCTCATGCATGAGCTTGGTGTGACAGATCCAAGTGTCTTCGATTCTTGGTTGGCCGAGGAGCGCACTTATCTGCTGTCATTGAATCATGAGCCTGAACGTGAGACCCTTGAAATGGAATATTGGCAGAAGTTGGTAAATTTATCCACTAGCAAGTGAGTCTATGTATTTGATTGCTTGGTTTATACTGATGAGATTTGACTAGAATAGAGCTCAATGCTGCAAGTGCGGCATGGGCTGTTTCGACACTGAGTACTGTGCAATTTGGAGCTCATGATATTGTGTCAACTACTAGGATTGAGACCGCACGATGACATGCAATTGAAAACTACGAAAAGGACCTGAAGATGGTCCAGGAACTCAAAGGCAAGCTTAACATCACTCGTGGATGGGTGCCCAAAGACCAGGAGTGGAAGGATGCAGGGTGTCTTGTTGCTAATTGCAAATTACAGTGTGTGCTTGATCACTTAGAGGGTTTAGTTGTTGCTCGAATATTTGAGCTGTCGAAAATGAATCGAGCAGGCACAGGTACACTGACATGCTACTTCTATAGATGCTCACAACTCACAAGCACTTTTAGGGTATAAACTATGCAAACATATTGGAAAAGCCCTACAGGCTCGATCAGCGGCTATCCATACAGTGCTTGACTGATACAATGCTGCCACATGTTCATTCTCTCCTTCATGTCCATCCCTCACATGGGAAGAGGTAGTCAAGTATGCCTTTCTCTCTGACTTTGACCTCCTCCGTGATGCACATCAAGATGTATCACAGCATCCTTGGGCAACACCAACAGGCCGCCTCACCATGGATACTTACTTCAAGATGCGCCGTGCGCAGGAGGAGATCCAGCATCTCAATGTGGAGATCAGACGAGTAGCTACATACTTGCGCGATGAGAACAAGCACTTACTCAGGTGCGAAAATCAACTTAAACCTCTGCATCCTGCGCTCGCTCATCAAGTGGGTTTGCATCGCAAGGTTCGTGTGAGGTTCGCTGGACATCATATTCGTCGCCTGCAGGAAATAAGCATGCTGGAAGGCTTTACGGGGAGCATCACACCAGGCACAAGCATTGAACAAGGACCTGGTTCCAGCACGAGCATCCCCACTGTGTGCATTCCCTCTATACTCACTCGTAATGGTCTCTCAATGCCGCAGGAAGGTGCAGATGACTTGGAGGAGGACCTCAAGGAAGAAGAGGATACTGAGGTCGATAGTGAAGAGCATGCTCGCATTCTTGAAGACATTCTGCAGGTGACTTCAGACATTTAATTATGTTTAGCGTGATATACACTGTATTTGGGCTGTAGAACCACCCTAAATACTTTACATGTTTTATACTACATACCTGTCAAGGTCTGCCCCAAATCCATGCTCTCCTTGGCAAGATACACAAGCTCGCTGTGTCAGACAGCGAGCACAAAGGTTTGGATGCTGACGTGGCTTGGTTACCGTTGTCCGGAAGTTGCCGGCATCCAAATATAGTCAGAATGTCTAATTAAAGTTCCCAGGCACACGGGTGCAATGGCCTAGGGCAGGATACTCCCAAGAACGGCCTCAACGCTGATCTAAGGCTCCTCAATATTGAGCCTTTATTCATTTGGGTGGAGACGTAGAAACATATCGACTTAGATACACCATCACCCCCAGCTGTCAGGTCTAATTAGATCAGGCACATGGGAACATCAGGTGTTGTTAGGCAACATCTGGTTGCCGAACAGCCTCTAAGTATTAGGTGCCATTTGGACAGCAAATTTCGCATTCGAAATTCAAACATTCATCATGTGATCTTGCCGTGGGACTCTCCAGGAGAATCCCAGATGCCACTCGGTGGAACGGTGCACTCCATACTTACACTGACAACACATCGTTATCATGACAAGATCTCACTCATCAAGCTCACGATCAAGCCATTCCCTTCGATCCAAAGGCCAGGTTGATGCACCCTCTACTACTACACATCGCAAACCTGCTGCTCACTGGACTACTGAGGAGGAAGCTGCCTTGATCCAGTACCTCCAACAACACATGAGCACCACAGGTGATGCCACCGGCACAAACTTCAAGAAAACAGTTTTCCAGGGTGCCACCCAGCATCTCAAAGACAATTTTCACCAGCAGCAAGGCGGTGAGAAGGTATGGTCAAGTTGTCAGACCAAATGGGCCAATGTGAGTACTGACTACTATGGGTGTGCCGGCATGCTGCATGGTGTTAATACTGATTTTAATTTCTGTAGCTGAAGACCTCTTATTACGGTGTCCTCGAAATCAAGAATGCATCTGGATTCTCATGGAGTGATGTGGATGGCACAGGAATTTCGTTAGAGTATGAAGCAACATGGACGAATTTTGTCAAGGTATGTAGCGGCTATCTCAACTATACTTGCAACTCACCCTGTATTATTTTGAAAGATCCATAAAGCTGCAAAACTGTTCAAGAACAAGAGCTTCCCGCATTTTGAGGCCATTCACCACATGATGCCACGGAAGTCCCGAGGCAATTGGGTCTGCCAAAACAAACCTCCAGTCACATTGTCCGAGGACTCAGGATCCATTCCACCTGCTGCACATCATATGTCACACTCTGATCCCCTTGCCACTACTGCAGCTAGTAGCAGCACTGCACAGCCACCAGCACAACCACTTGCTGCTCCACCATTAGCGCAACCACTCACCGCCTTGAACTTGAGTCAGCTTACTGCAGTGATGAATGAGATCAGCTCTTCTCCAAGTGTCAAACACCACATATTTCAGCCTGGAATCGTACCAGCATCACCAACCGCTCCATCTACCTTCCTCATTTCTGACACAGACGCTGTGTCCTCCGTTATGACCAGCGTCAGCCGTCAAGAGAAGTGGAAGACCAGCGCACTAAGCTCAGACATCTCAATTACTAATTCATCAAAACAAGTCCGACCTCCCCCAGCAGCTGTAAAGGTGCAGCAGGAGAATAGCAGTGCAATGGTCAGTCTTGCTGACATGCTCAAGGACTTCAACCAAACACTTGCAGACACCACAGCCGCAACGTCTGCAAAGGACCTTGCACGTGCAGTTGCAATGGTCAGCGCAAGCACTGTATTCTCAGACAATGAAAAAGTCGACTTGATAGACTATCTTGGATCGAACGAGAGAGAGGTCATCAAGTACCTGAATATGGATGAGAAGCTCAGATCTGTGTGGGTGCAAAGATGCTTCACTAACATTCGCTGCAGTAGTATGTAACCATTACCAACCGTGCCAAAATGATTGATCGCAAACTTACCATGGCTTATGTTGCTGGTCAGATCGCAGAGAGTTTCAAGACTATCGTCTTGCGCCAGCTTGAAAACGCCATGTTAAATTCCATCAGTTTGTACTATGCTAATGTACTACGCTAATGGATGTCCGCATCAAATAGACTCTGCACAATAGTCCTCCCACATTGCCTGTGCTATAGCGTCACGACGCCGTTCTGCACGCCGTCTCTCAGCAGCATCAGCAGGCCCATCCCCAAGTTCCCCATGAGCCACTCCATCCTCTCCGCCATCTATGATGCGGTTATTCTCGTTGTATTCATCTTGATCGAGTAGGTCAGTGTCAGGGTCGTGCCTCCAAATAAAATTGTGCAAGGCACACAAAGCCGCTGGCACTCGTGCTTGAATGCTCATGTTGTACTCTAGCAGTAGTTGTAAAATTCACCACCGGCGCTTGATTACCCCAAAAATCTGCCGCCATTCCTTGAGATGATAGCGCACACCGCGATATGGAACAAGCAGTGCGTCACATGACCTGAAGCCAGCATCTGCGAGGAAGTATTTTCCAGGGGGATTGTGCAAGTCCTTTGTGTGTGCGTCGTTCCAGAGAGCCGCATCAGCAACAGAGCCATCCCACCCACAAAGCGAGTAAATAAAAAAGAAGTCAACATCGCACATGAAAAGACAATTCTGGGAGAGATATCCTTTATGGTTCCGCATGAACGGCTGGTCCTCAATGGTGGTGAATGCACGGATGTGAGAACCATCAACGGCACCAAGGCACTGATCAATAAATCAGACATGCGCATCATTTAAGATTGTGGGAGAAATGGGAGTGTTGTGCTTAGGGAATTGAACCTGTGAGGAGTAAAACGGAGGTGTTGAAAAGAACAGTAACATGCGCTTGAAGTACCTAGGGTCATAAGTTTGATCTTAGATGAATTATAATACAATATTGATTCTCTACTTACTGTGAGACTGTATCCGATGAACATTGGAACCTTTCTCCGATATGGCGGGTCGAGAGCCCTGTGACACAGGTGTACAGAAATATTGCAAGCTGTTCCTCCACAGAAACTCCATTGTGGGACCTTACAAACCCATTGGCTTGTAGGACTTCCAACAAACCATTGAAAACATTGAGGTTCACACTGAGATTGTGTTTGATGCGATCAGGGTGACCGACCATGAGTTCCAACACCCATGCTTCGCCCATTAAAGCAGATGTGTGATAGGGTATGCACGCACGGCGGGTTAGGAAGTGTGTCTGATAGTCTATGAGGGCCTGGGCAACAACAGCAACTAGAATAAACATCAGGCGCTGTATACGCCCTCGTTGCACCATCCCAAGCGGTCCATCGTAGTCAAGTTGTTGTAGGGTAGCAGCTGGCATGGTCGTCGTACAGCGCTGATGATCGTTATCGTATTGGAACCTGATACAGTAACCCGGCTTATATAATTATGTTGCATGTGACCACGAATCCGAAATTTGAAAATGGAATTCGCTGTCCAAATGGCACCTTAGACTCGTGACCGTGGAATTTTGGGCTACATCACTCGACTCGTCCGTGGTTATATAAGCCAGGCTGGTCCCGAGCCTATCTGTTTATAACTTTGTACAAATCTCTGTTTTGTACGTGAGATATCCCGAAAATTCTGCAGGTCGTGTTTGTGTCCACAGGGTACGTTTTACGTCGGGATCTCCAAGCAATCAAGCTCGGGTTATTGTCCAACTAAAAAGTCGTTTTCGCAGTGATTAATATTAATATTGTGCCACCAATCTCATTTTTGTCTCCTTCGAGAGGTGATGTTCCTGTGTATGTCACTGGCGCAGAATCGCGGACTGTTAAAGCAGTGGCCATAGACGCGCCACCTGGATCATCGATATCTCAGTCTCTCAATCATTTACTAGCATACATTGACACACTCGGTACCATGTCAGCTTCATCACAGGATCTTCCAAGGACACCCCTGCCGCTCACATTGCAACACCGTGATGAGATCGATCAAACCGTACTCAAAAGAGTTCGCCCTAGCTACTTGAAGACGATCCTTGAAGATGAAGGGGCTAATGATGTCGCAATAGAGCCACTCCTTGAGATCGTCATAACAAGAACTATCTGGGCGACCAGTGAATTACTCAGGCGGGAAAACCTGAAGGATAACCTTGATGAGGGTGTGGCATGGGCGGAGGGGACCCTACAGCAGCGCCCTGAACTGCGGGGAATAATCCGCCACGCCTGTCAGACACGCTCGTTCTCCCACATCGCTGACCTCGGTGAGTGCATGTACCAGCGATATAGATGCCCCTCTGCTGACGGTTGCTGGTGACGCAGATATATTTCAGATACCTCAAGCTAGTGACCCCCCCGCACCCTCGGCTGAAGGTCAGAGACTTTTATCTTGTGACATCTACTTGGGCTATATCTCACGTCAGTCGTATCCTAGATGAGGACCAATCAGACTTCCTTTACAATTCGTTCGTCCGACCATACGTTGGGAAGGCTGTGGATGGTTTCTATGAGTACCTGAAAAATAACAACATGAAGTTCGCGGGAAGCGGCGACAAAGGACCATACTATGCGAAGTTCTGTTCAATCGTGCAAAGCTCGGGCACAGGAAAATCAAGACTAATGACTGAGGTCAGAATTATGAAGCGCATATTGATATCAGGTGGCTGAAGTATTTTTTTTAGCTCCGGAACAAAGGCGTTCTTGTTTTGTACATGAACCTTCGTGATCCGAGTGATCCAGGCTTCCCTATGCGAGACGTAGTGCCTGCGCGTATATTGACGGAAGATATGGGCTGCACTCAAGCCGAGTATACCGCTCGTTGTTGCGCCTTCTTTACGGCCATATTCCAGACGCTCCAGAAGTATCTGAGCGACGAGTTTCCTCGGCTGCGCTCTCAGGCTAGCGGTCCTGATGCTGCAATCAAATCGTGGAATGACGAAATGTGCGACATGCGCTCGGAAGCTCGTACCAAGTTCTTTCAGGAAGTTCAAGATCTCTATGAGAAGGTGACAAAATCACAGTCTCTTGAGAATCCGACTAAAGACGTTTGCGCAACAGATCCTTGATAAGATCAAATTATCGAAGCCCGAAGAGAAAACCGACTCCGCTGCGCCCACGGCGGAGGAGACCGCCGTAAAGTTAGGGAGTATGTCTCTCACAGGTAATTGATATATTTTACACAAGGCGGTCGCCTAAGGTCACACCGTGGGTGAACAGATGGGAAGATCATGGTGCCGAAACTAGAAGGCGAATCATTCGTCAAGACATCTTATAACAACATGCTGGAGGTTTTGAAACGTATATTCAATAAGAAGGACAGGGACATGGTTTTAAATCATGATCCTAAACTCGTGATAGCATTCGATGAGGCCCACCCTCTGAGTAACATGAGTATCAAGGGTTTTCGTCCATCACATATTGTTGGCAGGACGATCAATTGCTACTCCAAGAACTGCCACGCATCAGTCTGGGTCGTTTTTGCATCCACAACTTCACAAGTGGCGCATTTTTCAGCCCCTCAAATGATCCGTAAGTACCTGTTCTACGTTGCCTATTTTCAACCTTCACACAATCTGGCAGATGACTCTTTGCGCGTAGCGGTGGCTGGTCAACTGGTATACCCGCCTTATACACATCTTGGCTGGGACCAGCTTGCAGACCCTCTGTCTAACATATCGGCGAATGATGTCGCAAAGTTCAGTCATATCGTCGGATTCGGTCGACCACTGTTCGTCCCTGCCTTTTTATCCTCATTTCCAGTTTCATTGACCACGATAAATAGGTGGAAATCGCTCGCGGGAAAATTTACTATCGCTGAGATTGTGATACTGGCTGCCCAGAAACTGTGCAAATCTATGACCTTTGACCTGACGGATACGAACCAGGCTCTCGCTATCCTGTCTCAGAGATTCGGTCTCGACATTTGCTTTGGTCACCCTGATGCTGTCTCTTATCTCGAGAAAGCGGTGGCTAGTCACCTGCGTATATGCTTCTCGACGACTGAAGATAGGACGTGGACCTTCACCGGTTATCCATCGGAGCCCTTTCTATCCTGCATTGCATCAATTCTGCTCCATAGGACGCCCGACAGTCTGGCGAACGCTTTGGCGGTCTTGAAAAGAAAGGCTGATGGTGGGATGGTCGAGATAGGACAGAGCGGAGAGTTGGCCAGCAGGCTTTTGCTGCTTCTCGCCAAGGATCTCTTTATCCGCAAGGACCCCTCCCAAGACGTGATCATGGATATACACCATGTCGGAAATAGTGATGCAGATCTGATAGACTGTCAGAAGGTCCCCGTCATCGATTTTTTGGAATATCTTTTTGGCGAGACTTTCTGGTCGGAGTTGGCTGAGGCTAAGGCAGCATTTCAGCATGCCTACATCAATTTCTCGCATTGGGTAGCAATGACAGAGTTCATCTCACCGCGAATTTCCGATCAGACTGACGCCGATCCATTGAGGTACGCTTTTAGAGGTTTTCAAACGATATGGTGTCTAAGATGATTATCACGGCTGTATAGCGCTAGATGCAGCGCCGAAGAGTGGACCTTGCGACACTGGCATCGGACGAGTGCGGTGCAATGCTGTCATCTGCAGCCGCTCGTTGACAAGATGATTCCTATATATTTTGACGATCCGGCCCTTGGCCCCAACGATCTCGACCGCGTATCACAGATATTCATTTCCGACAAGGCGGGGAAGAATTGCCATGAGCAAGACTTGAGGTTCGTCACTCGCAAGCATGATTCGATCCAGTGCCTATCGAATCTCCCCTACATCGCTCTCCTTCTCGACCTCAACGTGAAACCAAAGCTTGAGGTTACATTTCCGAAGAAGGAACCAAATCATGTTGAAACAGACCGATGTCTACGGATCTACGCTTCTGGAATCAGCGACATCACGTTTCCGGTCTTGGGCCAACATTCCGAAATTGCGACACAGCTGCGTGGGCTTGTCTCTCGGCAAAAGGAAGCACCGTCCCAAACAACTCTCGAAGCTCTCGTTAAATTTGGGAGTACTGCGAGGCTACGCAATTTGCAGTGGGAGGCACAAGATGCATGATAATCTAATTGAGCGTGTTGAAATGTTCGCCCGTCTTTGCATCCCAGATCTTTACTGCGTTGTATTTGAATCCAACATCGCAATCATGGC